ATTTGCATTATTTAATCCATTGATTCTGACGACCCCCGTGGCCGAGTGGTTTGTACGCCGGGTTTCATGGTGTCGCCGACTCGAGAGGTCCCGGGTTCGAATCCCGGTGGGGGCAGATTTTTGTGTGATGAATACGAGCATTTGTACTCCAGTCATTTCTATAAATGTACAGTATATGTATTCTATCCGTTACCCTAGCATGCCATAACACAAGCCTTACAGTGCTTACTTTGGGGCTAAGCTAATTGGTGTGAGTGTCGGAAATATTTATTTATTATTGCTAATACGCGGTATTTGCAATCGACTATCAGGTTGAATAACCGAGGCAAGTAATTAAGTTAGTACAATATGCATGACTGCAAAATTATAGTTTGGTTTAAAGTTCACAACACAGTCACAATTCGACTACTCCTGCGTAGTCAATATTCGTCCTCTAAAGAGTATTTGTTTTTTTTCATAAATGAAAAGTTATCTCAGTTCGAGCAAAGACTAACTGCAACTAATAGCAGGTACGCTGAAATTTAAGCGCTTAGCCGTTAGGTTAACGTTTAAATTGCAACAACAGCTTACGTTAAGCTGCACAGTTTTTGCTTTGGCCATTAATCTCTTAGATCCTGAGTTGTGCTGCAATTAACGGCTGGTGCACATGCTCCTTGCTAACATTGTAAGACTCCTAAGTCGGGTAAAGGTAAGCGCAGTCATTCTATTTTTAACGGTATCACCTACTTGCTTTCAATGAAACACTTTACTTTGCCCGTGACTTCGTCTTCGGGCATTATAATAATTATCAAATCCATAGGAAGCCTTTAATGGGGGATAAAAAGTCCAGAAATATATGCGTACGCCGCTGAGTCAGGAAGTTTCATTGTTTTTTGCGAACCCAAGGATATCGAATATGTCACCGGCGTGTTAAGTACAATATAATAAACTATCTCTGTACTATATTTCATACAAACCCATGCAGGCACATTTGCGTGATGGATGGATGGAGAGGATGGAGATACAAGGAAGTAAAATTATTTTGGTAAAAAAACTCAACTGCACAGTCAAATTGCTACCACTGCTAAAATTCTTGTATATGTTATATTTCTCCCAAAACAACGATTAAAAGCAGTCTATTATACAAATCTAAACACGTAAGAGTTTCTCATCTCAACAACATCTCAACTTTCTCTAAGATTATGGTGAAATCTGCTACATTAAAATTAGTAGGCTATACGCCAATTATGCGATTTAATGCGACATATTAATGAAATAGAATGTCAATAAATTTTAATCAAACCGACTTATTAAAAGATCTTTTGAATCTTCCTGAATAATTTTTCCCTACCATTTGTCCAGTTCATCTTTTGGTTGGCATCAAGATTGAGGAAAAAATGTTGTCATATTTTAATTCATTAATACTATTTAAATAAAAATTTGGTATGGTTTTATGAAACCACGATGCAAAATTATTATTTATAAAAAGGCCTTCCTCGGCTGGGTAACAACCCAGGCCGTCCGCGTAGCGGGCGAGCTTCCTATATCTGAACCACCGATGCTTGTATGGTATATTCCTTTGTCTTTATTGCATTCCCGTCATATTGGTTTTTTCTCACGCTCTTACTGGTCGACTGGTAGAGAATGCCTTATGGCATTATGTCCGCCATTAGCTTTGTAATTTTGCAATAAAGTTTAAATAAATAATTCTACATGTTAAAGATGAACGAAAAAAAATGAGATTTTTGCGATGTAATAAAAGTTTCACTGTTATAATCTATATTTCAAGATGGAACTGCAATAGTGCAATTAACGGCTTAAGGAAGAGATAACACAGTTATTCGGTAACACCCGCTTCCGCAGCAGTGCAAGTAATAAACTAGCTACTGTTTAACTCGACTAACACGACGGTTTACATGTATCCAACGTATAGGGATGTCACTCTGGTGTCCTAAGAACGTGACATGTGATATGCAGTCCGAACAGTTCGTTAAATAAAATTAATAAATAAATATTTTCAACACTCCCACCAATTAGTCTAGCCCCAAAGTAAGCACTATAAGGCTTGTGTTATAGGATGCTAGGGTAACGGATAGAATACATATACTGTACATATATAAGTATATTTTTTTAGAAATATATATTAAACATCCATGACTGGAGTACAAATGCTCGTATTCATCACACAAACATCTGCCCCCACTGGGATTCAACCCGAGATCTCTCGAGTCGGCGACACCATGAAACCCGGCGTACAAACCACTCGCCATCGGAGGTCGTCGATATTTGCGATGTAATAAAACTTTCACTAATTATCTATATTTCAAGATGGAACTGCAATAATGCAATTAACGGCTTAAGGAAGAGATAACACAGTAATTCGGTAACACCCGCTTCCGCAGCAGTGCAAGTAATAAACTAGCTACTGTTAAACTCGACTAACACGTTTACATGCATCCAACGTATAGGGATGTCATTCCGGTGTCCTAAGAACGTGACATGACACAATCCGAACATTTCGTTAAATATTCTAATACATTGTTGATTGCTAGACTTCGAAAGCAAGTGTACCTATAGAAGTACATATTTTGAATCGCAGTGGTATAATCAACTTAATATATCATGTACGTAATTCGGCCTTTTAGTAGAAAGTGATAAGTATGGATAATGGCCCAATTATAAAACATAATCAAATTCTGGCATATTACATACATACACATTAAACTAAACTCTCCTTTTCATAATGTGAAGAACATGATACACTTTTAGCTTTACATTAGTAATTAGTAGTAAATATTTCGTATTATCTAAATTTAATAAAAGTGTCAAATGTCATGAAAAGTAAAGGTTTTCAGAATACTATTACATAATCATTACATTATTTTCAATTATTATTGGCAACGAGAAATATATTCGTTGAGCTAGTTTCAAATTTTATAGCACGGTTATTACCTTAAAGCCTTGACACACCTCCCTTATACCCCGAATCTAAATAAGCCCATGAAAATAATAATGTTATTTATTTGTAATTAACTTACTAATTTATATCTCAATATTACTAAATGTTTTATTCCAATCACATCTATCATTAATCTAATTTAACTTATTTAAGTAAGCAAATCACCGAAAATAACAAAACGTAATTTTTATTTATCAAAACAATTTTATTAAATTATATCATAATAATCCCTATAACCATCATTTCGCTCACGTCGATTATTAAACTTATTTACTTCCAACTAAATCTAAAATTTCTAGTACCTACTTCCTCCCCGTTTACTTTCACATATAATATGGTTAATTGACAGCCCTAGTCAGGGAACGCGAACCCGCGCAATTCGACTCGACTTATAATTAATAGCAGCGTATGTACAGAAAGTTGAGCACCCCCGCCACTGGCGCGCTAGGATTGTTTCCGCTGAAATTTTGTTTGAAAGCACTCCACAAAAAGGTTTATTGAATGAGGTAGCTGTTGAAACTATTTGAGCACCTCGCAAGTCAATAGTTACTATTGAGATAACTATAATTTTATACATTGATATAATACCAATCACGCAGTAACTAAAATTTATAAGTTTAGCAGACTGGCCGGTACTAAAACACAATGTAAGGTTGATTAAATGGCATGGTAGAGGACTTAATATTTCGTAATTTGATATTGCCTACTAGAAATATACACCCCTCGATTACTCCATCAAAAAGGTAGTTAAAAGTTAAGTCCACGGTTAAAATGTAACTCTTAAATTTATATAAACACGATGAAAATGTTATTTATTACGTATAATGTGCGTAAACAGTCATGTTTGATCTCAATTCTGTTGTACAGTATATTTATGGTAGGTATAATAAAACTGTCCAAAACGAAAAACAGACCCGTGAAACACAATCGTTACGCCCATATAATTTGTAAACCGCAAACAGATGGTTCACTAAATACCCAAAGGAGGCTGCGTATTAAACACGCAGACAAAGACCTGAGTGACCCCTATTTATTGCGGTACAGTAATTATCAAACAGAGCAACATTACGGTGAGTTAGACATTCGAAAATTCTACAAAGGTAGGTTCCGTCACACCGTGACCCTTACGGAACAGAGGAATCAAAGAAAGGTAAATAAAATTTGTATATGGCACTCCAATATCTAAAACTCCATAAGGGATAAGAGATGGGGTCAGAGTAGGTAACGCGCTATTGATTCTATGGTGAAGTGAAGAGCTATATCCTATTCAAGGAAACTCAAAATAAAAACTAACACGGAAAGAACCTGGTACTGACGAAAACTAAGCTTGTCATTGGCCGGATTGTATTGTTATCATTACTTCGGCCAATGACAGAGCTCCTATTAGGTGATAGAGAAAGCGCCCCACTAACCCTTTTTACATGAATTGAGTGAAAATTAAAAAAGTTAAATAAGTTTGCTAAAAACATAAAAAAGGAGATTAACTGGGCAATATCGATTTTTATTTCACAAAAAATACTTATATAATAACCAATATGTACCATGAATTTTGATACCAAACTTTTAACTGTAACAATTATTTTAAAAAATACGTCGAAAGATTATTATTCATTTAAGAAAATAATCAACTTTGGAATTTGCTGATGGTTGTCTAAACTATCTCGAGCTTCTCTGTGCTTCGTAAAACTGATCCCGGCTGCAGTTGGCACTTAACACTTACAATGGACCCGATGTTGCGATATGGACCATTACGTGCCTCAACCAGTTCTCTCACGGCCATATTCAAAAATGTCAAATTAATTTAATGCTACATAATGCCACGTGTTGTCTCATTTTATTGTTATCGCAAAGAAAGTGACAGCATCATCTTTAGTCAAAATTAAAACTTAGTTTGACTTGACTTTTTTGAGTGCGGCCATGATAGGCTTATGGCGTGATGATATGACATCAAGAAAGGTCAGCTGTATTTGGGCGCTGTGCCTAAAGAACAAGGTGGGGATTTATTCCTACGAGTACAGTACGCCCGCATAAGGAAACGCGCTAGTACTCTATGTACACTAACCTCTTTCACAAAAAGCGCCCTCGTAATCCCCGTCGCGGCACTCGCAGATGGGCCCATCATCCGTGCTGATGCAGACGCCGCCGTGCTGACACGGGTCCCGCCTCTCACACGCGTCTCCACTAGCGTTGCTGATCCGAGCGGACTGCAACAAAGATGTAAAAGAATGTGAATCATGGTCGTGCATCGACGTGCGTAAAGCGCGTAAAGAGTTTTTAAATCATTAATATAGGCAGATATAGTTTGAGGTGCTCGATGGCGCGGGTGGTTAGCGCGTTCGGCTGCGACTGTTGAAGCTAAGTATCTTTCGCAGTGGTCGGTCATTGGATGGGTGGCCAAAAATCTTCTATCTCGAATTCCTCCGTGCTTCGGAAGGCACGTTAAGCCGTTAATCCCGGCTGCATCTGCAGTCGTTAGCACCCGCCAATCCGCACTGGGCCCGCGTGGTGGGTCATGGCCCAATCTCCCTATTCCATCCATAGGAAAGGCCCGTGCCCCAGCAGTGGGGACACATGGGTTAGGCTAATGATGATGAATAGGCAGATACGCGCTGCTCCGTCGCATATATTGATACGGGCGTAAACGAGCGCTTCCGCGCGTATTGAATTCCCATAGTCAAGTATGTCTGTGAGTATCTGTTGATTCGCGCGAATTGTTGCGTGCAAACATACGGGACAGCTAAAAACGGAGGTAGATTTGAACATCGATTTATTTATTGAACCATTGTCACCCTAAATCTTTAGATGCGCATTCACGCGTGAAGACGCGTTGTCATCTGAACTTACTCTAACAACAATGTCTGTGTGACCTCCAAGGCGTTTATGGGCTACGGTAATTGCCAACAATAGGATGGACCATTATGTTTGCACGAATAAAAAAACTTGCATTGAGACTAACAAACAATAGTTCAAAAGTAAAAAGTAAGGTCTCAAAGAGATAATTTAAATACCAAAGGGGCTGTTTGCTCATATGCGAGATGAGTGTATGCACACATAAATATGCAATTATTCTGAAAAGATGGCAAAAAACTAAGATAATAATAAAGCAATAGTAAAGTGCATAAAAAACTTTAATTGAGATGAATAGACATGTGAGTACGCTCAAATGGATCATTTAAATCGCAATAGGAACGTTTGCTCATATACAATATTAATGTGTGCACATATTAGTACACCTAGGTACCTACTAAAATTATTCTGGAGCTCTACTCTCTTTCTCCGAAACGAAATTTCGGTAACGAACGAATTTCAAACGAAATTTCGCCAGTGTCTCTACTCTATTTCATTTTCGAACAGGCACATTAACTTCGGAACCATAAACAGTTTTCGTGAACGAATGGAATGAGTCATGTTTGTGAGTTCTTTTTATCTCTACTTTTAAGAAAACGTTTTTTTTTACTTGAAACAATATAGGTAGTTTACGGCAAATTTTTTGATGACATTAAAAGAACCTTCTTTGACAGTGTTAGCCGACTAATTTGTAGAGTCGATACAATCTACTGTATGTCAACCTCAATTTGTCGTTTAATACTTTGAAGTATCGAAATTACAAAAAATAATAATAAATGGTTTATTTGTTAATTTTACATGCTAAAAATGTTACTCGAGCTAAGCAGCTATTATTAAAAATACTCTTGCAAGTATTTTAGGCTTAATTAAAACAAAAATCTCAAAACGAAAATGAAAAGGTAACACTTTTCACTTCGTCGATTTGAGGTTAAAATTTCGAACAATTATCTGTCAAATTCAACTTTTCCTTCGAAAGTTTTGTGAATTAGAGTAGGCTTTGGATTTAATTGTCAAAATATTTCGGACGAACGAATTTTCGAAATGAAAAGGAAACAGAGTAGGGAACGTGCGAAATTAGGATCGAAATTTCGTTTTTCGTTAAAATAGAGTAGGCCTCCTGATCGTGAGTTAAGATATAATAGCAAAGAACGAAACCCGGAATCCAAGCATGTACCACCACAAGTAGAAAAAATATTTCTGCGGTTTAATACAGACAGAGATGTCGCCAAATACATTGAAATCATCAAAAATTTAGAAAAAGTACTGGATGATCATTAATCAGTCCATGAATCTAATTATATTAAAAGTATGATATACGAGACACAGTTGTATAGATACACGACGAACGAAGATAAGATATTTTTTGGGAGGATACAAAAAATGTGTTTCGAAGATTTTAGATAACATTCTCGTAACATTTTCTTTAGACACTAAGATTTTATTCCTATTAGCACTTAAAATAAATATATATATATAAAAAATACTTTTCAGTTACTGTCGATAAACGGCTATCTAATTCTGCAAACGACAAATAATCCTAATTCCAAGTTTATCAATTTAAAGTAAGTTCAAGGCACACTTAAAAATCGGAACAATGATCTAATTTATCAAAAACGTTTTATTAGGAGAGTATTGTATAACTCAAATCGCCATCAACAAAGATTTGTGTTAACCCAAAATTAACACCACGCAAGAATCCCGCTGAACCCAATTCGAACCGATTCGGTATAGGGTTGTCAAATCATTAAGAGCGAACGCAAGCTAAGAGATATTGGAAAATAGGTATTTGAAGCAACTATTGCTGTCACGCATTGGCGCGTGCGTGTGGTTGGGACAACTACAGCTCCCGCTGAACAAAAACAGGAAGACATAGGAGTATAGAATACCTAAGTAAATGCCGTAGATATTTTTATGACTTTTAAGCGCCAACTGTTTTATTACGCGCACAAAACTAACTAAACAATACCTAAAAATTGTTTCACTTTGCATATATGTAGTAACAACCACAGACCAAAGGATCTCTTTATACCTATTTTCTGTGATCGTTACTTTGAATCTTTTCTTTAATTTATAACTTCTTCTTTCTTTCTTTCGTATATTCGTGAAAAACGACTCGTAACTATGACTACTATGATTTTGATGAGGCACATGATAAACTGTTCCATAATGTTACATTTTTTTTGTATCTCTGTTAGTCAACACTTCTATCATTCATATCCTTTGTCCCTTTCTCTAGTAAACGGCAACCCTAAAGCGGTCGTAACCAGTTGCTGATCCATTATCAGATTAAAGTTAACGTCTGAGCGTCGATGAGATTAGCGTGACGCTAACGACGCCTGCTAAGATTACCGCCTGATATTACGATTTAACGTAAATACGCTGCGCTGCACGTAGATGCTATGAACCATATGACAGAACCGTGCTCTTAAAAATCGTGAACTTCGTCGTGTCGGACTCGCGCACGAAGGGTTTCGTACCATTATGTATACAACATTGGGCACTTTATTATAATATCAATTACAATTATATCACTTTATTTATGTCAAGAAAACTACATTTCATTTTGACGTGATAACGCCTCATAAATTGATGAACATCGGTTGCACGCACGAAAAAGTGTGACGTCATATCACGTTATGTGTCGTCATGTCATGAGTCACGAGTTATTTCAACGTTCCGCAGTGTGTGCGAAGTGAGGTCGAGGGGTTACTGCGATCCCTTCGAATTTCACACTTGTAAAAAAATATGTTGAAAACCTTCACATTGGCACATTGAGCCCTTTCATTTGATATACAAGACGGTATAGTCAGCTTAATTTTAATTTTCTCATTCATCCCCCAAAAGTAACCTTCATATTCGGAATTTATTCATTTACTTTATTCATCCGTGATTGGGTTACAGACAGGTACGTACCAAATTTCGTGTGTAACAGACAGACAGACAGACAACCGAGTGATCCTATAGGAGTTGCGTTTTTGCCGATTGAGGTACGCAGCCGATTGAGAAAAACGAGATGTCAAATGGGCAAGCTAGCCACTCAACTGGTACATGATATTATCAGTAATTGATTGGTAATAAGCGATTACTCAAAAATATTTCTACGTATCATTACGGTAGCTTAACTGAAACGTTCCTGTTAGCTTCCGGTGACCGGAATAAGCTAAACTGTATGATGTAACGGTATTAGATTAGATAGCTGAAGCTGTGACAATTACTCAATTAGTTTTTCAGATAACACAACAAGTCGTAAGCACTGATACAAAATGAAATGCACATTTTTTCTCTGGATCATGATGGAGAACAAATAAACTCAAAAAAAAGATACTCCTACTTTTTGAAGTCGGTTATAAACAGCTGTCGCAGATTAAGTACTTAACGTGTCTACGTACTTATACGAATCAATATGACATACTTTCCGAATTACCAAAAATATTGTGGATATTAAGGTACTTACTAATACTATTTAGTGGCGGACGCACCTAGTCCTACAGTAATTCATCTTAAATGTTAAACAGGATACATACTTTAGTATATTATAATTTTAATTTTAAGCATTTAACAGCTAGATTTATAAATGTTAAGAAGATTTTACTTTTACATTCAGGTCAGTCATTTATGACCGCGTAATTTTTTCTTGTAAAATTTTCTTTAATATGTACTTTATAGTTAACCCAATATGTAAAAAATAAAGGTAAAAGAACTTGTGAATTTGAATCGGATGCAATACAACTGAAGGCTATATTTCAAGCCACTTTTCGTCTGTTTTGAATAATCAAATTCCCTTCATTAACGTATTGTCAATGTTTTCCCTGCAAGATTTACTTTTTAAAATGAATAGAAATTGGTTCAGAACGGACAAAATTACAATTACAATCATTAATTCAACACTATTTATTATTCTTTAATACAAATTCGATAGAGTTTATGTTATTTTTCCGTTGCTACATTTCAAAAGTTGATTTTCTAAATTAGCTTTTGGTAACGTGCCATGGAAAAACGGAAACTTACAGCCCAGTCGCCTGCACTACTAATGCATTCCTGAGACGTTGCGCCGCCATTTAGTTAACACGTAACATGAACTACCTGCCGCCTGACTTTGCACGTTTGATTTCATTACACGTAGAGGATAAGGTTTAAATACATAGGGTATGATAGGATTTCACACACAGAAAATATAATAATACTAGTAATACAGTTAAAGTAAATGAAGATCTTTTTATACGAAGCACAATAAATACCCTACCTAATGTTTATTGTAAGTGGGGTCTAGTCGCGAAGATAGCAGAACAATTTGCTGCTGCTCCAATCAATCCCACCTCACCCTTACCTGAAGCCATTTCACCTACTTTATGGAGTC